TCTCTTACTGTGCCTATTTTATACATTAAACTTTATCATAAGTATATCTGTATAGGAAGAAACAAAATATATAGCGTTTGGTACTATCTGTAGTTCTAGGTATCCGCTAGGGGCCTTGGAACATAAAATCCCATGGATAACGGGGGACTACCATAGTTGGAATCATACAGTATGCATCCTTTTCAGATGAACTTCTTTCACCTAGTAGTATGCATTTAATGTTCTTTCATATCTTAATAGCTTATTTTTTCTTTTATCAATGAACATTATTTCATCTGGATGCACCACAGTTTGTGTCTTCATTCGCATAAAGAAGGACTTCTTGGTTGCTTCCAAGGTTTGGCAGTTATGAATAAAGATGTTATAAACATTTGTGTACAAGTTTTTGAGTGAACATAAGTTTTCAACTCATTTGGATAGATACCAAGGAGCATGATTGGTGAATACTTCAAGCATAGGTTTAGTTTTGTAAAAAACTGCCAAACTGTCTTCCAGAATTGCTCTACCATTTTGCATTCTCATCAACGATGAATAAGAAGAGTTCCTGTCGCTCCACATCCTCACCAGCACTTGGTGTTTTTATTGTTCTGGATTTTAGCCGTTCTAACATATGTGTGGTGGTTTCTCACTGTTGTTTTGATTTGCAGTTCTCTAATGACAGAGAGTGTGGAACATCTTTTCATATGCTTATTTGCTATCTGTGTATCTTCTTCGGTAAGGTGTCAGTTCAAATATTTTGCCCGTTTTTAAATTGGGTTGTTTTCTTGTTGTGCTTTAAGAGTTCTTTGTATATCTTGGATACCAGTTCTTTATCAGATATGTGTTTTGCAAATATTTTCAGCCAGCTCTGGCTTGACTTTTCATTCTCTTTAAGTTCTTTTTTGACAGACTTCTCCCAACACCAACAATTTCATGAATCAATTTGGATATTTTTTTAATTAAAGAAAAAATTCAAACAGTTACGAAACTTGTTTAAGTTGCTTGGAGATGTGCCATGTTTTAGGACATTTCGTTTAAAGCTTTCCTGATTGTTGGACTGCAGTATGTCCATTTACTCTATCAGACACAGAAATGCAGTTTGTCAGGGGAACTCCAAAGAAGGCAAGCCACCTTTAGTTTGTTACTCTGGGAAACTAAAGTCACACTTTGGAGATGATATCATACTGAATAGTATAAACAAACTGTAAATGCCTTTGAGTCAGAGATGACTTAACCAGTCACAAAGAACTATAAGATTAAAATCTCAGTCTTTTCTGATTAGGTAAACTATCCATTAGTTTAGAATGCCTCTATCCATTTTATAAAAATTTACTCAGTTTTTGACTCATAGTGTAGCATATAACCACACACAATGATAGTAAGATACCTAGACTTGATCACTTAATGAACAACATGTCTTTGGGAACAAAGCATAATTTCAACAAAATTTCCAGTCTTATTGATTGTTGAGATTTAGTCATATGGTAAACATTATTACCTGCAGGTACATGCAGGTATCAAGTACAAATAGTTGACTTGAAAAGTTGAATAATATACTAGAAAAAAAAAATCTTCTGGGTTAGAAGAATCAAGAAATTTTTAGAGTTGAGAGAGAAGGGATCCAGTCCAGGGCTGGAAAATAAACTTCATGTCATGTCCCACCTCCATCCATTGGCAGCAGCTTTCTCTCATCACGATGTGCAGAAGGGTGCTGATGCTCCATCTGGGTGCAATGGATGAGAGAGCCTCAATCCATTACTGGTTTGCAAAGGGAGGCCCAGGTAGAGCCTCAAGCCCATAAACATCTTGCTCAGTACAATCTTACATCCCCACTCAAGGATGAGAAAATGGAGGCCCAAATAACTTAAAGCCTTTTCAAAAGTCATCTAGCTGGCTGGTGGCCATGCTGATGTTTACCAGGTAAGAATTTCATTGCTTCTATCCCGTGATACAACCACCTACAGTTGATACCCAGACAACTGGTCTCAGCTCTAAGGGCTTGAAAAAATAAATCTCCACTGTGGACTAATAGTCATTGTATTTAAAACTGTGTTTAAAATATTCAGGGCCGGGCGCGGTGGCTCAAGCCTGTAATCCCAGCACTTTGGGAGGCCGAGGCGGGTGGATCACGAGGTCAAGAGATTGAGACCATCCTGGTCAACATGGTGAAACCCCGTCTCTACTAAAAATACAAAAACATTAGCTGGGCATGGTGGTGCGTGCCTGTAATCCCAGCTACTCAGGAGGCTGAGGCAGGAGAATTGCCTGAACCCAGGAGACGGAGGTTGCAGTGAGCCGAGACCGCGCCATTGCACTCGAGCCTGGGTAAAATGAGAAAACCGCCGTCTAAAAAAAAAAAAAAAAAAAAAAAATTCAGTAAGAAAAGATCTGGTCTATTCAAAAGAAAGGTGGGACTAATTAATAGAAATCAGATTTCAAGGAACCAGAAAAGTGAGTGCAAGGTAGCATAACAGTCTGTGCTTGAGCTAAGCCATGCCACCTGTTAGACAAAGGAAACAACACAGCAGCCTGGAGGTGGCACATTGAAAAGATGGTCAGGGCAGCCTGCAACATATTCTGAAATGATTCCTCTGTTGATGACTGGCTGTGGTCTCTTGGGTCAGAGAATATAGGCATAGG